ATGTCAAGAACTTAAAATGTAGAAGGGGGGGTAAAAGTGTAAAGTTTTCTAATGGTTGAAGCAAAGTTGTTATCAGTTTAAAGTAGACTTTTATAATTATAAGATGTTTTCTGTAACTCTCACGGTAACCACAAGGAAAGAATCTCTAGAAGACACATAGAAGATAAAGAGAACAGAATCAAAGTATACCACAACATAAAATTGTTAAATCACAAAAGAAGACAGCAATAGAGGAAGTAATGAACAATAGAACTACAAAACAGTTAACAAACTGACAAGAGTAAGTTCTTACCAATTAGTAATTATTTTAACATAAGGATGTTAAATTCCCCAATGGAAAGACATAGAGTGGCTGAACAGATAAAAAGAAGTATCCAACAATTTGCTGAGGATAAGAGACTCAAATTCACTTTAAGGAAACATATGGACTAAAAGGAAGGAAATTGACAAAGATTTTCCATGCAAATTGTAACTAAAAGAAATAAAATTTATTTCAGAACAAAATAGAATTTAAATAGAAAAATCTTATTGAGATAGAAAAAGTCATACTATAATGAAAAGAGGGTCGACTCACTGATTTTCCTGAGTTCTGTATGGATTCTAGTTATCAGCCCTGTATCAGATGTATAGCAGGCGAATATTTTCTCCCAATCTTTAGGTTGTCTGTTTGCTCTCATGATAGTTTTCCTTGGCTATGCAGAAGCTTTTTAATTTGATCAGGACCCGTTTATTTATTTTTTGTTGTTGCTGTGATTGTCTTTGGGGTCTTCTTCATAAATTCTTTCCCTAGGCCAATGTCTATGAGAGTATTTCCAACCTTTTCTTCTAGAATTCTTATAATTTCATGCCTTAGGTTTAAGTCTGTTATCCACCGTGAGCTGATATTTGTGAGAGGTGAGAGGTGTGGTTCCTACTTTCATCTACACATAGCATTCATCCTGTGTGTGTGTGCATCTGTGTCAAAATTTCCCCCTTTATATAACGACATCAGCCTGTTCGATTGGAGTATGTCCAGCATGACCTCATCTTAACTAATTGCACCTGCAAAAACCCTATGTCTAAATAAGGTCACATTTCAAGCTACAAGTAGTTAGGACTTCAACATAAAATTTGGTGGGACACAATTCAACCCATAACACTACTTCTGTGTGTTATATAGTTTGAAAATATCTAATTTGGACATAATAAATGTAACACTTGGGAGATGTGGTATAAAACTTTTTCCATGATATTATTATTTATATACAATTATACAAATATATTTAATTATTGATGTTCTTTTTGTTAATTGAAGATAAGCTGATTTTAGCATTTTCACAAAACCTCCAATCTTTCTTACTTTTAGTTTAAGTCAAGATTGGCCTAATTCAGATACTTTGAAATTTCCTAGGATAACTAAAATACCAGACACTGATAAATCACTTGTGCTCATTAAACCCAGAATTGGCTAACGATTTTGGAAATTATATCATATGATGGAATGAGAGGAAATAAGAAAATAACCTCAGTTATTGTCAGAAAAACAGATTCTGCTTCAACTTCTAAGATCCCTGAGAAAAACCAAATCTGTCACTGTTACTTCACTAAAGAAAAGATAAACAATGACATCTTGTGGCTGAAAACCTTCTTCCCTTTTGACAATTTCGAATTTCCAAGACAGACAAGAAGTTGTAGGTTTTAGATGAACACATAGCATTAGATGAGAGAATTGTAAACATATAATAAAATTACAAATGCATGTTTAGTTTTCGTATTAATAAAATTAGATATTAAAATAAAACTGATTAAGATATCTCTAGTTTCCTTTTCCTATAAAACCAACGCTTAATGTGATTCAAAACTGACCACCTAAAATAAAATAGTGATAATAAGCTAGAAATGGGCATTTAAATTTCTATTAATGTGTCTATATTATTTAATGTGAATGTATATGGTAAATTGAAACCCAAGAACCTCCTATAACTTCAGGATTCAGTTAATAGAAATTGTTACCAAGTGCTCATACTTGAACCAGCCAAAAGCAATAACTTCTAAGCCATAGTTCTTTGACCAAGAGCCAAAAAGAAGCAATAAGAGGACAGGGAAAAATTATAATCATTAACTTTACTTCAAATAGTTGTTTATACCTGTCATAAACACATGTGGCCCCATATTTACTCAAAATACTAAAAGACTAAAGAGAAAGAAAGGCTCTTGTTTCTTCCATAATCTTGTGAATTTCTCAACCTGTATTCAAGGTATTCCCCTCCCACCCACTTAAGGGATTTTTAGAAGACGAATTATTTAGGAGATCTAACAAAAGCCACCATTTTTATAGGAAGTGTTAAAAGGAATAGAAAATTTAAGAAACTAGTCATTATATAAATAGCTGGGGCATAAGTGAGTGTCCTGTGCCTTCTCCCATGCCTGTCTCCACCCAATTGTTGTCTCCTGGTGATGCTTCTAGTCAAAACCCTATGAGCTCTTCCTAGGCTCGTTCACTGAAAAACAATCACCTCGCCTTTGTAGTGTTTCAATTTTTTCTTAGTCCATCATGTCTCTGACATTATTGGAAACGACCTCAAATTATTGCTGGAACAAGTAGGTTAGGAAAAACAATAAACATAATAAAGGAGGGAAAGTATTTCAGCTAATTTCAGTAATTTCCTACGGACCCCTGACAGCATGAGGGGCACTGTTCTAGGTGCCTGACACGATTTAACTATGCTTTTCCTTCAGCGGACTGTATGTGTGTGGTAGACACTACCCTCATTTTACAGATGAGGAAACTGAGGCACAGATAGTCTCCACCACAGTTGCAGAGCTACTGAGTGGTAGTATTAGGACTCAAACGCAGGCAGTTTTCGAAAGACGGCTATCTGGCTTCCAGAGGAGAGGAAAATGCCATAGGATTCCCAACCTGGAGACAGTCGAGATAGAAGCCAGTTGGCGCTCAAACAGGAGACCTCAGGCAAGCCGCCCAGCATCCCGAACTCACCTCAGGGTTCAATACAGCACAGCGACACATAGCTTTCTTAAGTATTCCAGAAATCCAATGGATTTTCTCTTGAAGCATTTCCCAGGAGACCATCACCCAGTTGCTAATAAATGGGTGATGGGAAAATGAAGTGTGGTTGAATTCCATCAGTTCCAATATTTCGCTTGGAAGACGTAGGCTTCTAGGGAACAACTGTGTTTTCATTCCCCAGTCATCATGATCACTTAACAGATAAACCACTACCTCCAAGACAAAACAGTCACATCCTAAGTTTTTTGCCACACCAGGATATTGCTCATTGCTCGAAGGCACGACACTAAATGCCCCAAAATATTCTCTAATGAACTTTCATTTAAATTGCTTGATTTTTTTAAAAGCAAATATAATCTGCCTGATGTTTGAAGGAGGCACAAATCCCACAAATTAGTGTATTTACTCTGCGGAGCCTGGAGAATTTTGGGTTAGCTGAGTAATTGGGACAAGGTCAGAAGTTTGTGGGGTGGAAAGTGTTAAACTAAAAGGAAAAGGTTTTCATCATGAAAGGGTGTTAAAACCTGTCAAATGTTTTTTCGATATTAAGATGACCATATGATTTTCATCCTTCATTGTGTGGTCATGTCATTGTGATGTACATATTAACTGATTTGCATATGATAAAACATCCTTCCATTTCATAGATTATTTTTACTAAATCATGGTCTATACTCCTTTTAATGTGCTTTGGAATTTGGTTTACTAGTATTTTGTTGAGGACTTTTGCATGTCGGTTTATCAGGGATATTGGCCTGTAGATTTCTTTTCTTCTAGTGTCTTCATCTGGCTTTGGTATAAGGAAAATGCTGGCCTTATAAAGAAGATTAGAAAGTGATTACTTGTCTTCAATATTTTGGAAAATTATGAGGAGTATTGGCATTAATTCCTTAAGTTTTTGATAGAATTCACCAGTGAAGCCTTCTGATCATTTCTTGGTTATGAGGTTTTAGACTACCGATTGAATCTTTTTGTTTGCTATTGGTATGTTTAGAGATTTCTTGCTTCATGATTTACTTTTGGTAGGTTATGTGTTTTAGAAATTTACTCATTTCTTCATGTTATCCAATTTTTTGGCATACAATTGCTCATATTAGTCCCTTAGGAGCCTTTTCATTTATCTAGCAACAGTTATAATGTCTCCTTTTTCATTTCTGATTTTATGTTTTTGAGTCTTCTCTCTTTTTTTCTTAGTATACCTCAGGGTTTGTCAAGTTTTTTAAATCTCTCAAAAAATAAAGTTTTAGTTTCACTGATTTTTCTTTCATTTTGTTCATTTCTGCTATAACATTTGTTATTTTATTTGTTCTGCTACAAATGTCCTTATTTTTTTCTTCTTTTTCTGATTTCTTGAGGTATAAAGTTAACTTATTTATTTGAGATCTTTTTTCTTTTGTATAGTAGAGGCTTATCACTACCAAAGAGCCCCATAGTAGCTGCTTTTGCTGCATCCAATAGATTTTTTGAATGTTCTCTTTTTATCTTTATTCGTCTTAAGATATATTTAATTTACATTTTTATTTCATCTTTTACCCATTAGTTGTTTAAGAGTATATTGTTTAATTTCCAGACATTTGTCATTTTTTCCATTTTTCCTTATTGTTATCACTACTTTCAATGCAATAGGTTTAAAAAAAGACAGTTGGTATGAGTTCAATCTTCTTAAATTTGTTAAGACTTGCTTTATGATGTAACGTGTGATCTATGCTGGATAATGTTCAGTGTGTGCTTGAGAAGGGGTGCATTTTACTACTCTTGGGCACCATGGTCTATGTATGTCTGTTGTGTACATTAGACCCATAATGTTATTCATATCTGTTTACTTATTGATTTTCTCTCTTGATTTATATCCATTATTGAAACTGAGGTGTTAGAGTCTCCTACTATTATATTGTATTGCTCTCTAGTTCTCCCTTCAGATCTGACAATGTTGGCTTCAAGTATTAATATTTAGGTGCTCTGACATTGGGTACATATATATTTATAATTTTAACATATCATCCTGATGATCTGAATTTTCTTTATTATATAATGATCTTAGTTTTATACACTGACAGTTTTTGGCTTAAAGTCCGTGTTGTCTGATAAAAATAGGTGTCTCTGTAAAAGAGAGACATTTTGACACAGGGAGGACAGCAGGTGAATACTGTAGCTATGCTGCCACATGGCAAGGAACTACCAGGACTGTGAGAGAAGGCTGAGAGAGATCCTTACCTGGCACCTTCAGAGCAAGTGTGGCCCCCAGGACATCATGAGAGTGGACTTCTGGCCTTCAGAATGGTGAGGCAATACATTTCTCAGTTTAAGACACTCATTTTATGTTACCTGGTTAGGGCAGCCCTAGCAAACTAAAGACATTAAAACAATGACAGTTAAAATGGGTCCATTAAAAACCAGTTGTGACAAACAGTATGAGAAAAAGTACAGAAGGCTAAAATAATTATACAGTATGTAAGGACATATAAAGTGGGGGTAAGGAAAACAGACTTATTTGTAGTGAAGAGTAATTAGAAAAAAAGTTTGCTGGAGATGGTGGAGCCAGAGCAGGAAGTAATAAGATGGCCACTTGCCATGTTCTGTAGGACTGAAGGACTCTTGTTGCTAGGTAGCGAAACCTAGAACTTAAGTGAGAGACAATTGAAGAAGGGGCTTTACATTTCTGTTAGTCATGTGAGTTCTGAAATACAAGTATTTATTCATAAAGATGGATGGTACAAATGATCCATGAATTGGGCCATAACTGGAAAGGAACATGGGAACTATCAATTCATCTGTTGGTAAGTCACTCAAAAGTTTATCTTCAAAGTAGAGAAGTGCCAGAATTTGTGTTTACATGGATGAACGCACACACACACACACACACACACACACACACACACACACACACACACACACACACTTCTTTGCCAAGTGTTCAGATTTTGAGGTGATCTATGCTCTTTATCATTTCTTATTCTATTTATTTGGTTCACAGCCTCTAAGTTGTTTTTATAAAATATCTGATCCTGTGTTACACAGGTATTACATGAGGAATTTCGGTTTTACAAGTTAAACTACCATTATAGAAATTCATATAATAAAAACTTGGAAAAAAGACAATGTTGGTTTTCAGAAGAGTTTTATGTATTAATGAGGAAATTTAGAAAGTCAGCAAGTTATGAAACAACTGGACAATAAACAAAATTATTAAAAGAGTAGGAGTGTTTGAAATGGATATCTATTCATGACTTCATTCTTTAGGAGAAATGTCAAGTTAATCTTATCCTGATTTTATGTGTTCCGTTTTAGCATCCCCTAAATTTACACCAACCCTTGTCCTGGGCTTCACATTCTTGAGATATAAAGATGTTTTTAAAATAAAAGCAAACAGAAAAAGGAGTCTCCATAAAAAGTGTGAGTAGAGAAGAGGCGTTGTTGTTCTGAGAAAGGAAGCTTCCGTACATGACAGAACATGACTCCAGAGAGAAACTGTCAAAGCAGTAAAGCACGTAGAATCAAGATAAAAGAAAATTAAAGAAAATAGCTCCGAGTCCGGGAGATGACAGGTGCTGAATCTGGCTTCTCTCATTTTTCGTATGTACCATGGGAAGGGCATTTATTGAGTGTGTGTTAGCTCCCTCGGAGCACGGATTTCCGGTTTCCTTTTCCTTGTATTGTTTTTCCCCAAGTGTGCTTGTGGTTCCTAATCTCATTACCTTAATAATCTCACTACTTTAATGATCTGGGAAAACCGTGGAGACTCCAGGAGCTAAATAAAAAGGGGCATTTAAATGTAAATATTTGAATGTAATTGTATAGATTTCTAAAGTGTGTCCTTGCCCAAATGCGCTGCCTACATTCATGCTCCAGACCCTTAACCTATTTCAGCCTGTGACCGTGCATCCTGGTTCCTGTGCATGACGGTGTGCACTCGGGGTCTTCATGTGACATGGTGTTTCAGTGACGTTTCGTTAAGAAGCGACGGACCAGTATTACTCATTTCACACATATGTGAATATGTCATAAACTTGTATTATGAGGTAATTCTTTCCCAGTCTGTCTTCATATGAGATATGTATCTGTATTTTTAGTTATGATAAATACATTGGAGGGCCACCTCCAATCTCTTT